GATATCAGTGCTGTCATTCTGATATTCACACGGTAACTGTCCCTGTGATATCAGTGCTGTCATTCTAATATTCACACGGTAACTGTCCCTGCGATATCAGTGCTGTCATTCTGATATTCACACAGTAACTGTCCCTGTGATATCAGTGCTGTCATTCTGATATTCATACAGTGACTGTCCCTGTGACATCTGTGTTGTAATTCGTACATTGAAAGGCAACTATCTCTGTGTCCCTCTGGTATCAGTGTTGTACTTTTAAGCAATTTGTTCATGAGATGTGGGTTTCACTAGTGTAGGACAGATTTTGGGAACACCACCACCTTCAAGTTCCTCTCCAAGCCACTCACCATCCTGACTTTGAAATATATCACCGTTCCTTCACTGTCACTGGGTCAAAGTCCTGGAGTTTCTTCCTCAGGGCATTGTGGTTTAACCCACAGCAGGAGGACTGCAGCAGTTCAAGAAGGCAGCTCAACACCACTTTCTCAAGGGCAACTAGGGATGGGCAATAAATGCCGGCCCAACTAGCGATGCCCACATCCTGCAAATGAATGAATAAAAAAAACACAGAATAATTGATAAATGAAAACAATACTGATCTCCATATTCCAACAATTGCTGTGATTTGAAATTATAATTCTGAAATTTCTACCCAGATAAAAATCTCACATATTGATTATGCTTGGAGACTAATATAGAGTTTCACTCTTTATGGTCTATTGACCTTTTCTGTCTCTGGGGGCAGTATCATGTGCATGTGGCTGATTTGTGGAAGATATTACAAAGATAAAACTAAGAACTGCCGATGCTCGAGATCTAAAACAAAAACAGAAGTTGCTGGAGAAATTGAGCAAGTCTGGTAGCATCTGTGGGGAGAACGCAGAGTTAATGTTTCGAGTCTGGTGACTCTTCATCAGATATTACAAAGCACTGATTCAAGTAAATGCACATTAACTTATTGAGCTGGTAAATCAAACTAAATATTGTCTGGATCAGTTGTTTTGCCTGATAGCATGTCTCTCTAGTATGGAGCTGCTGATGTTGGACTAGGGTGGAGAAAATCACAAGTCACACAGCACCAGGTTATAGTCCAATCAGGTTTATTTGAAACCACGAGCTTTTGGAGCATAGCCCGTTCGTCAGGTGAGGTGAGAGAGATGCACACAGAACACAGAATTTATGGGAAGAGAGATCAAGGGCAGAAAGATCAAAAGTTCATACAAATGGTGTGCGTGGAATGTCAAAAAATAAGCCCCTGCAGGTGACCCGAAGAGTTAGATGGTGTGAGTAAAGTGTGAATGGCTGAATAACAAGCAAAGGGATGATCTATTATCTGATTAAATGAGTCAGAGAGATAATTGCAAAAAATTAAAAATAAGGTGGTGCTGGAGACAAATGAAATAACTGGAGTAACATAATAGGTATCAGAGTCA